GGGGGGGGGGGAGGGAGGTCGCCAAAAATAAATTGTTCCGGAAAAAAAAATTTCGGCACTGGTTGGGCACAATCCGAAAAAGTCGGGCAAATTTCTTTCTGCCCCCCCTAATTTTTTCCCGTCCCGTACGCCTATGGTAAGGCTCCCTCGTGCATGCATCACCCCATGGAAAACCTGCACCCCTCCTTGCACATGGGGCTAGGTACGCCTCTGCTTTTTGCGGCGATTTTCTTCTTCTGATTGATGTAAACTAGTGGATGAGCTATAAATGTTTTGATGAGGGTACATATACTCAAAACATTCATAACTCATCTACTCATTCACATCCATCAGAAGACGAAAATTGCACTAGAAATCATCGCAGCACAAATTGCAACTGTGAATTGGCAATTCCCATTATAGACTAATTTTAAAATTAGGTAAGGAAACTCAAATAAATCACCACAGCTAGAAAGAGCATACTAAAATTAGTAAAATTACAAAGTTTGGTTGCGAAATGTTGTAAAATGAGGAAAATATAGCCTTGTAAAGTTCGCCAATTTTGTATACTTTTGTATTGCTTGCGGAAATTCCTACCACATTCCTACCACATTTAGGCCGAAAATGTCGCACGCAATACAAAAGTATACAAAATTTGCAAATTTTGCAAGGCTATATTTTCCACATTTTACAACATTTCGCAACCAAATTTTGTAATTTTACTAATTTTAGTATGCTCTTTCTAGCTGTGGTGATTTATTTGCATCTCCTTGCCTAGTTTTAAAATTAGTCTATAATGGGAATTGTCTATTGGTCTTTAAAGGTTGAAAGCCCAGGTCAACATTTACTCACTGATATAAAGTATAATTTTTATTGTTTTAGGATATCTATAATGCAATTTTTCAACTACGTTATGAGAAAAGGTATGCATAGGACCTAAAGAAAATGAAATTGTTATAATTTGTTTAACTTTTATTTCCAAACAAAAATTTGATCATGGTAAAAGGTTTATGCAGCTTTGCCAGTCATTAACGTGGTATAATTTCTCTGTTTAGTTTGGTTGCATCAAACAAGAATTGGTCTTAGTCTCTACGATGTAACAGGACAAGGATATCTTAGAGAATGTGTAAGCACAGAAATTGAAAATCAAATAAAAAAAATAAATGAATATGCAGTACATTATGATCGTGTAAATTTTTGAGAGGTGTACACCCACCTGTGAAAAATTAAAAAATCTTTGCCCACCTACTGTAGGTGAAAAATTTCAAAATTTTCACCCACCTGTGAAAAGTTCCAAAGGTTTTGAAGTCGTTTCCTGCAGTATTCGAGAGTAGTTTTGAACAGTAATTCTGTCTTATTTATCGCCTTGTTTTTCCCCCAACAAACTGTAAATTAATTGCCAATTCGTATATATCTTTGTAGGATCTTGAAAACTATATTCTGGAGTTAATACCAACACTACCTCAGGTATTGTAACTTTTTGACGATGGTTACACCCTAACTACAGTCCAGACGAGGGTTACCCGAACTGCAGTGTATTTATTTGTAATGCAATTTTTGGCTTACAGTTTTATTATATGTAACTTCAAATCTTCTTTTTTAATCTCCACTCTAGCTCGAGGGATTAGAAAGATCTTTCTATTCGTTTTACGTCTGCACTGCAGTGAGGAAGTTTTTCTTTTTTCTTGATCCCATGAGAAAAGGTATGTGAATTTTGAGGTCGTTTTTACTACATGTATTCAGTTACAGGTAAACTACGGCAAGAGTTCCTCTTTTAAGGGCCGTTTAAACGGGCGATTTTAGGGGCGATTTTCTCCTTTTGGAGGATGTGAAGGAGTGAATGAGTTATAAATGTTCCAGGTTATGAAATCTCACAATGACATCATTAAGTAATCCACTCCTTCACATCTTCCACCAAAAGGAGAAAATTGTAACTAAAATCGCAGCAAAAATCGCCCGTGTAAACGAGCCTTTGAATTCCTAACTTGATTGTAATTTTCCTGATTAGGGAGCGGTCATTATGTATGGCGGGGGGTGGCACCGAAGAGAAAAGGGTTGGGTGAACATAATTTTGAGTGAATAAAAGGGTTGGGTAAATGAAAAACAAAACAACTCAAGGGTTGGGTAATAAAAATGAATTGTTATTCCCAAAGCATGATTTACTCAAATATTGAAGACTAAAAGGCAATGTCAACAGTCATATGTCAATACAATATGTAAATCAATCAATCAATCAATCAATCAGAGTCACTCACTATCTTCATTATTTTCCGATTTCTCAGGAGGCAAATGGTGTCTCCAAAGAAAAGTGTATGTGCGGACAACATGAAATTTCAGACTGCAGAAAACTGCACAAGCGGCTTTCAAATTCATGTCACATACAGTAAGTGGCATGTGTGACAACTGAATGGTATCCTTTTGTAAAGTTTTTTGCCCAGGGGTGGGTATTTATTAATGGTTGGGCAGAAAACATATAGTTTTTGGCCCAGTGGTGGGTATTCATTAATGGTTGGGGCAGCAAAATATTTACCACGAAAAACATATTCTCTTTGGTGCACAACCCCCTGCAATAAATAATGACCGGTCTCTTACCTTAAAGTTTGCAAATTTGAAAAACTGCCTTGCAAATCCCGTGAGAGAATTTGCAATGCTCCTAAAAGCCAATTAGAGTTTTGTCAGTTCCTGTTAGAAGTTCTTAACTTCCTGTTACAAGTTCCTAACTTCCTGTTCTGTTCTGTTCGTTGTAATAGGCCCTTTCAAGGTTATACAGACGCCATTTGCCTTGCAAATTGACCTATAGGGAACTACATTGTTTTTGCACCTACGAAAAATCATGCATCTTCAATAATAATAATTCTTTGCTATATTTATTATTAAGGCAAAATAAAAATACAAGACATTCTGGCTTGCAGTTTCCTAGATGATTTATTGGAGGTAGGGAATATTTCAGAAAATTCTTATTTCACAACAAATAAACCCTTAAGGTCCATACAGACCGAACGTGATTCGACAACGCGACGCGAATTTTCTGTTTCTAAAAACAAATAAAACCGACGGATAAAAAATTTTACAAGATATGCAGACCAAATAGCTAAAATTGCTTAAGTGGTTCCGAATATTTGAAAAACATTGAAAAATACTGAAGTTATAAATGTCATTAAAAATCGAAAATTCGCGTCGCGTTGCCAAATCGCGTCCGGTCTGTATGAACCTTAACGCTGGAACCCGGAGTGTGAGTTCAAATGGGGCAGTATCTCCTCTTGATTTCCTTAAAACCTCTAGATCAATGGTAATTAATATAAGCTTTCTCACAGATTTTTCAAGAATGCAAAAAAATACCCGCAAAACTTTCATTAACGTATAACTTGTTCCATAAACATCTAGCTTCGTGATGAAGATTTATCCAAAGAACAGCAAGATTCCAACTGGTTTTCAGCACCATCGGCACTGAGAGTTTATGGTAAGAGAGCAAAATTACAGTCAATATATGACTCAACCTCTACCTCAGGGTCGTCTTCGTGATCAAGGCTTGAAGTAGAGAAAAAATATGGCCTGCCAGTTTAAAGGCACAGTTCAGCCTGTTGAGCGATGGTTTTTAAGGCACATTTCAGCCCTATTAATTGAAAAAACTAACTAGGAAAATCAATTAAGCATAATTCAAAATCAGTAAACTCGATGTTTTTAACAATATGAATGTTTTAAAATGTTAAAAACATTAAGATTGGTGATTTTGAATTATGCTTAATTGATTTTCCTAGTAAGTTTTTTCAATTAACAGGGCTGAAATGCGCCTTAAAAACCATCGTTCAACAGGCTGAACTGTGCCTTTAAATTTTTTTGTCAGGTGAAATAAATTTTAGCCTGCCATTTTTATTCATGGAACTGCCAAAATGGCAATGTCTCCTATGAGTCATATTGTAAAAACCAATGTTTTCATGATATGCATTTTACTACAGTAAAAATTCTTGTGTAAAAATTCTAAATGTATTTAGTCATCTAAATAATCTAGTATACAGTACATATGAGTTGTGGCAAGCAAATGAAATGAAATATATCTATAGAATTTCACCTGCCACTTTTTCTACTTTGGCGGTTCAAATTTGTTTTGCCTGCCATTTCTAAAATATGGCCCGCTTTTGGGCATTGGCAGCCCGCTATTTCGAGCCCTGTTCGTGCTGCCTTGGGGACGAGGTTGTATATGACTAATGCGAAACTAATGTCAACTTCTACGACATTCTTTGTTAAACTGTTTCATTTCTCACCATAAATAGGACAATATTTAAACTTGGACAGTGATCACAATGGCATGCTAAGTAAAGATGAACTTCTAAGGTAAGGGATTCCAGTTCAGTTTATTATAACAGTATAGGTATAGATATTTCCGTGCGGTAAATAGGTGCAATAAAAGTTGTATCTACAGTATCTGCGAAATAAAATTCGAGGCTGTCACATAAGAATCAAGCATTAACGCCCAGGTTATTTCGGGCCTATTTCAGAACTTCTCAACCGTGCATACTTCAGAGAATGCATGCATGGTTAGCCCCACTGGAATGCTCATTTTCGCCGGTGGTGGCAGAAACTGTGACAACATTTTTACGCACGCCGCTGAATATGTTCGGCATAAGCACTCAAATTAAATTTTTTTGTCGTTGAATATCTTCGGCATAAGAAGGCCTATTCCACTTAGAATCATATGTTTATGCCGTCGAATATGTACGGCATAAACATTTAACTTAGATGTTTATGGCGTTGAATATGTTCGGCATAAACATTCAAATTAGATGTTTATGGCTTTTAATATGTTCGGCATAAACATTCAAATTAGACGTTTATGACGAGTTGAATATGTTCGTCATAAACATTCATCTTAGATGTTTATGCCGTTGAATATGTTCCTCATAAACATTCATCTTAAATGTTTATGACGTTGAATATCTTCGTCATCAACATTCATCTTGCATGTTTATGACGTTGAACATGTTCGTCATAAACATTCATCTTAGATCTTTATGGCGTTGAATATGTTCGGCATTAACATTCAAATTAGATGTTTATGGCTTTGAATATGTTTGGCATAAACATTCAAATTAGATGTTTATAACGTTGAATATATTCGTCATAAACCTTCATCTTAAATGTTTATAACGTTGAATATCTTCGTCATAAACATTCAAATTAGATGTTTATGGCTTCTAATATGTTCGTCATAAACATTCATCTTAGATGTTTATGATGTTGAGTATGTTCGTCATAAACATTCAACTTAGATGTTTATGACGTCGATATTCGACGTCATAAACACCATCAAATTTGGTGTTTATAACGTCGATATTCGACGTCATAAACACGAACAACTTTGGTGTTTATGACGTCGATATTCGACGTCATAAACACGATCAACTTTGGTGTTTATGACGTCGATATTCGACGTCATAAACACGATCAACTTTGGTGCTTATGACGTCGATATTCGACGTCATAAACACGATCAACTTTGGTGTTTATGACGTCGATATTCGACGTCATAAACACGAACAACTTTGGTGCTTATGACGTCGATATTCGACGTCATAAACACGATCAACTTTGGTGTTTATGACGTCGATATTCGACGTCATAAACACGATCAACTTTGGTGTTTATGACGTCGATATTCGACGTCATAAACACGATCAACTTTGGTGTTTATTACGTCGATATTCGACGTCATAAACACGATCAACTTTGGTGTTTATGACGTCGATATTCGACGTCATAAACACGATCAACTTTGGTGTTTATGACGTCGATATTCGACGTCATAAACACGATCAAGTTTGGTGTTTATGACGTCGATATTCGACGTCATAAACACGATCAAGTTTGGTGTTTATGACGTGGATATTCGACGTCATAAACACCATCAAGTTTGGTGTTGATGACGTGGATATTCGACGTCATAAACACCATCAAGTTTGGTGTTTATGATATCGATATTCGACGTTATAAACACCATCAAGTTTGGTGTTTATGATGTCGATATTCGACGTCATAAACACCATCAAGTTTGGTGTTTATGATGTCGATATTCGACGTCATAAACACCATCAAGTTTGGTGTTTATGATGTCGATATTCGACGTCATAAAGACCACCAATTAGTTTGGTGTTTATGATGTCGATATTCGACGTCATAAACACCATCAAGTTTGGTGTTTATGATGTCGATATTCGACGTCATAAACACCATCAAGTTTGGTGTTTATGATGTCGATATTCGACGTCATAAACACCATCAAGTTTGGTGTTTATGATGTCGATATTCGACGTCATAAACACCATCAATTTTGGTGTTTATGACGTCGATATTCGACGTCATAAGCACCATCATGTCTGCTGTTTATGACGTCGATATTCGACGTCATAAACACCATCATGTTTGGTATTTATGACGTCGATATTCGACGTCATAAACACCATCAAGTTTGGTGTTTATGATGTCGATATTCGACGTCATAAACACCATCAATTTTGGTGTTTATGACGTCGATATTCGATGTCATAAACACCTTCATGTTTAGTATTTATGATGTCGATATTCGACGTCATAAACACCATCAAGTTTGGTGTTTATGACGTCGATATTCGACCTCATAAACACCATCATGTTTGGTGTTTATAACGTCGACATTCGACGTCACAAACACCAACAAATTTGGTGTTTATGACGGCGATATTCGACGTCATAAACAACATCATGTTTGGTGTTTATGATGTCGATATTCGACGTCATAAACACCATCAATTTTGGTGTTTATGACGTCGATATTCGATGTCATAAACACCTTCATGTTTAGTATTTATGATGTCGATATTCGACGTCATAAACACCATCAAGTTTGGTGTTTATGACGTCGATATTCGACCTCATAAACACCATCATGTTTGGTGTTTATAACGTCGACATTCGACGTCATAAACACCAACAAATTTGGTGTTTATGACGGCGATATTCGACGTCATAAACACCATCTAGTTTGGTGTTTATGATGTCGATATTCGACGTCATAAACACCATCAAGTTTGGTGTTTATGATGTCGATATTCGACGTCATAAACACCATCAAGTTTGGTGTTTATGATATCGAATATCGACGTCATAAACACCATCAAGTTTGGTGTTTATGATGTCGATATTCGACGTCATAAACACCATCAATTTTGGTGTTTATGACGTCGATATTCGACGTCATAAGCACCATCATGTTTGCTGTTTATGACGTCGATATTCGACGTCATAAACACCATCATGTTTGGTATTTATGACGTCGATATTCGACGTCATAAACACCATCAAGTTTGGTGTTTATGATGTCGATATTCGACGTCATAAACACCATCAATTTTGGTGTTTATGACGTCGATATTCGATGTCATAAACACCTTCATGTTTAGTATTTATGATGTCGATATTCGACGTCATAAACACCATCAAGTTTGGTGTTTATGATGTCGATATTCGACGTCATAAACACCATCATGTTTGGTGTTTATGACGTCGATATTCGATGTCATAAACACCATCAAGTTTGGTGTTTATGACGTCGATATTCGACGTCATAAACACCATCAAGTTTGGTGTTTATGATGTCGATATTCGACGTCATAAACACCATCAATTTTGGTGTTTATGACGTCGATATTCGATGTCATAAACACCTTCATGTTTAGTATTTATGATGTCGATATTCGACGTCATAAACACCATCAAGTTTGGTGTTTATGATGTCGATATTCGACCTCATAAACACCATCATGTTTGGTGTTTATAACGTCGACATTCGACCTCACAAACACCAACAAATTTGGTGTTTATGACGGCGATATTCGACGTCATAAACAACATCATGTTTGGTGTTTATGATGTCGATATTCTACGTCATAAACACCATCAAGTTTGGTGTTTATGATGTCGATATTCGACGTCATAAACACCATCAAGTTTGGTGTTTATGATATCGATATTCGACGTCATAAACACCATCAAGTTTGGTGTTTATGATGTCGATATTCGACGTCATAAACACCATCAAGTTTGGTGTTTATGATGTCGATATTCGACGTCATAAGCACCATCATGTCTGCTGTTTATGACGTCGATATTCGACGTCATAAACACCATCAAGTTTGGTGTTTATGATGTCGATATTCGACGTCATAAACACCATCAATTTTGGTGTTTATGACGTCGAT